TTTTTTTTTTTTATGAAGTATTGTAGTCGCAAAAAAATTCAAGTCTCATATTTCAATGAAAATATCCACTCGGATGATTTTTTTGCATGATCTCTGTACATATAAACAGAATGAAGAACTTTTCTACAAAAGGGATTCTTCATGATGTCTATGCATATGTATGTACCATATGTGTATATTTATGTTGTATAACTCAAAAACGATTAGCCGTAGAAGGTTGAAATTTTGTATATGGGACTGCTCTAACATTTAGTTTGACCAGTACCGGTCCATGGATCAAATGATACTGGGCCACCCAAAAATATTGTAAGGAGCCCAAGGAACAAGGGTTTTCTGCATTGACAGCAACCAAAACAAAACAACAGAACTGGACATAAGCAACACACTTTCATTGTCATTGTCTCCTGTCCTCCCCCCCGGCAAATGGAACCATCTCATTTGCAAAGAAAGAAGCTCAGGTTTCTCATTGATTTAGCATTCTAGTGAGTTAAAATGTTAAATCATTTTGTATTCATTTCTTGGCATAACTGTATTTTATTTTGAAGGCATGTTTAAATACAATTAAATTTATTAAATCAAAATTATATAAAAAATAAACAATCAGCATCCTCCATCAGCAGGCCATGGTAAAATCATCAAACATTGATCAGTGCACGACGATAAAAAGTTTGGGGAGTAATGCTCTAATGCATTGAAGGATATTATTCTGTTACATTTTTGGTAAATATATTGGGATGTTTCAATTTCCAGCATGTTTTAGTGCTGAACTAAAAAAGTCTTGGCACTTTTCTAGATAGTGTGGAATATTGTAAGGAGATATTTTTATATTTGAATGCAAAAGTAAGGCAAGGTCAGTTGTCCAGTGCCATGTGTCTTCTTGTAGCATTTCACTTTTGTGCTTTTACTTATTTCCCTGTTTGTAGCAACTGAGGCTGTTTGCGATTCAGTTTTTTTTTTTTTTTCTAAAGTTTGTTTTCTTATTTGATATACAGTAGAAGTCCAGAAATCTGCAACGCTTGGGACGAGAGGTTGTGCAGATTTCAGATTCAGACTAAAAGTGCAAAATAAATAAGGATATTGGATATATTTACTTAAATTAATATATACATTAATACAATAATTAATTATATGCATTAAATATGATTACATATATAAAATGATTATATTATAGTTTCATTTAAATTAGGCTCCTCTATTTTTAAATCGCATGAATCTGCTTCCTTTTCTCACAGGAGTATCCTGAAAGTACCCCATACTCCGCCATGTCGGAACCACTCGTATGAACATCATCAGGTTTGCCGATTTCATCTCATGTAAGATTTCTGTTCGGATTCCGGTGTTAGAATCACTGTTGCTGTAAAATTTCAACAGCTTTTCTTTATTGTTCTGTATATCATACACAGTTCGTGTGGCAATTCCATACAATTCTGCCATAAACCGAGCAGATGCATCTACCTCCATCTTTAGCAGAATTTCCACTTTTTTCATTACCGTCAACGCAACGTGTTAACGTTTTTCAACATTGCAAGCAGTAAAATCACGAGTGCGTTTCTCATCTGTCATTGTATTAAAAAGCGCTGATTTAATAATAAAAACCTAAAAGTGTACTACTTTTATATTATGAAGGGTTTAAATAAGAAATCAAGCTGTTCATGCTACTCCTCTTGGAAACTGAGGTTTGCAGTTTTATAGTGCTGTTAAAGTGTGAGGGTTGTACTGAAACTTGAATTGCATTATTTGTATATCATTATTTGTATAAATCATAAGCACTGGAAAAAAGCTGTCTGAAAGAAATTTGTTTGAAGTGCATTGATAGCTGATTCTTTCAAATGAATTGCCCACCAGCGGCCAAGCGGTAAAGTCGCTGAACACTGGTAGTTCGGTCCGAGGTTCGAATCCCGCAAACGGGCTGGCTGCATGGGCGTTTTCGTGGTTTTCCTCATGTGTAACGTGTATACGAGCCAGTTTCCCTTAGAAAGTCCTCCACGAAGGCATCCCTCCCCTTAGGCAGATAGCCCTCGAGGCTTTGCCATAATCACACACACACACTTTCAAATGAATTTAGAAAGTTCTTCATTTCGCGATAGTTTTCCATTTTGTGTTGGGGGAGAGAGAATTGTAGACATGCATTAAGTTTTAAAATCTATTCCAAGATTATATAATGGAAAGTAACACTGACATCTTCTCTTGTGTAATAAATGTGCACTATACAAATTTTTATGTGACTTCAGTATTTTATTGAACCATTCTAATGATATGGGCTAATATATAAAATGGTAAAGCAGAAAGCTTTCTAGTTTACTGCACAGAATGCTACGTGTCTTTAAAAACTGCATTTTATATTTTGTTTAATTTGAAGTAATCTTGCAATTTAATGAGCACCTATATTTGTCATGCAAAAAGGCAGTAATTTTCTGCATTAGATATCTGGCTGGTTTTGCATAAACAAGTTATTTAAATGTCAGTATTTTCTCAAAATTGCCATTTTCCTTTAAGGGTTGTTTAGTTCGAATGGAGTTATTTTATGTGAAAAATATATGTAATAGAATCCCAGCGATCCATGCTGTGTTTAATTGATTAAAGCATTATCATTGTGATTCTGTTGTATATAATTTTTGGACAAAAATATGTGTAATACTAAAATTTAGACTTATTTTTTTTTTAACATCTTCTGAATGTTGCAAATTATATTTTACCTAAACTATTGCTAAATACTGTTTCTTGATATTGTAGGGTAAATTTCGATTTGAAGGACCAGCATTTCCTTCTGTGCAGGAATTAATACTTTATCAGTTTCACTCTGGACAACCTGTTACGAGTCGCTCTGGTGCTGTTTTGAAGTCGCCTGTCATGCGAGAAAGGTGGGAGCTCAATAATGATGATGTGGAACTTGTTGAAAAAATTGGACGGGTTAGTATTCTTACATTTTTAATTATGTGAAAATGAATATGTAACTGTAATCACTTCTAAGTGTGGCAACATGGAAACAGTGAAATCATTTCTTCTCTGTGCAAGTATACATATTCTGTATCCTAATGAAAGCTTCAACTTTGAATAATAATTTATATGTATATGGTGATGTTTTTCATTGAAGAAACATGAAAAATATCTTTCCTACTTCGTGATTACTTCTATTTTCTTGTAATCTTAATGATAACTTTTGTTCTATACCATAAATTTAATTAAAGTTGATTCAGTTACTACAAGATCCGAACATATGTGGCTGAGTTGTGGTATAAGAATGCTCGGAGTGTTTAAAAAAAAGAATGAAAGAAATTATTCAAAAACTGCTAAATGTTGAAACAATTTTCAAATATTAAAATGCTAAGAAATATTTGATTTCCTTTGTAGATATCATCCAAATAGATTTTGATTTCTGCTGTGTTAGGTTGCTCGGATCTCAGAGTTGTTTTCAGTTTCATTCCAAGGTCTGCTGAATAATGGATTTAGCGTTGTAGACCTTGACTCCTAGTCTCTGAAAACTCGAATATCTTCATCATACAAACTGTTCTTGGTATTGTTGTATCATTATTTTTGTAAAATAAGACCATCTGAGGACTAAGACCATGCACTGAATTGTGTCCAACTAAAAACTGAGAGTTTCCATCAAAGCATAAATAGACAAATCCACGCTGAGGTTAACTTTCTGAGCATTAAGGGTTTGGCCCTGAAATTTCAGAGTTCCTCCCCGAACGTCACAAGTAAGGATATATTTTTAATTATAATTCCAAAATGACCCTATGTATTTGACTGCTTTTCTTCCAATGCATGACCAAGCAGGAATTTGATATATCAGGAGCTGGAAGAAATTTTCATGTGTAACAAATTGGAAAGCCTTGCTTTCTATGCAGAATCTTGCATAGCCTTGAAGGGCTAAGGAATTTCACTCTTGACATCTATCGAAACATTATTTAGCCACACTTTAATATTTGAATCACATGAATGTGACAGGTTTGAAGCGATGCAGTTTTATAATCTAGGTATTTCTTTACATTGGCTCTCTCATTTTCCAATAGTATTGTAGAAAAATCAGAAAATCGTTGGTTAGAATAAATTGAAAAATAATTACAGCAAAGTGATATGAGTAATTTAAAGAGGTGCTGTTCAATTAAGATTTTTATGTAGATTCAGATTTTTAATGCCATTTAGTTTAACTCTTTGCGGCACAGTGTGTCCAGTCTGGACACACCTAAAAATTTCCTTCTGTACGCACGGAAAAATTGAATAAAAAAGGATTATAGGTTACTCTGAACCTTCTTATTATAGGAGATGCAGCCTCAACACAAAACCAGTCCATATTCTTAGCCATGTTAGTTTTTTAAGACCCTCATTTTTAAAAGAAATCTCCTAGATTTTTTAGGGTATAAAAAGAATTGTTTGAAACGAAATTTCTATGTTATTTTTTTTTTTTTTTGGCTATATGCTAATCTCCTTATTCTATATTAGTTTCAAATTTTTACCTTGAAATCTTGCCTAAAATCAAACGGCCAACCCTAGGTGCGCCCAGACCAGGCTCACCGATAATCTAGGACAACTGAGAGTGTATTCTTTGTTTTTCCGCATCTCATCAATCAGTTCATTGACAACAATGCTCATTTCAGCACTCTTTCTAAGCTCTATTCAATCAGTGTGCCACTTTGGGCACATCCACTGAATTAAAACGATAAGTGCTTCACAAAATTTTACTTGTGTACTCCTCTAGGCGTAATTAGACTGCCTACCTTTTTTTTTTTTTTTGTCAAAACTCCGACTTTAAAAGGTGGCGTGCCAGAAACGGTTAATGGATTATTAGCTCATAAATTACATCAATTAAAAAGGCATACACTGTATGTAAATCATTCAGGATCATGAAATATTTTCGACTTTCAGTGTTATGGTAATGATTATCAGACTCCAGCTCACAAAAATTTGAGGAGTTTAATATTTGATCTGATTATTTATATAATTTTAATGACTGTGAGAATTTATTGCAAATAATATTTATTCAGTTATACAGTACAGTGTCCGTAATGTCGATGTCCATTATCCGGACTTCTAAGGCCACGAACTTTTTTTTTTTTTTTTTGTATTCTTTACGCGCATGTGTAAAGAATACAAAATATGCATGCATATGCATGCATACATTATGTGGCTCTACGCATGCGCACGTTGAAAGAAATGTTTAATAAAGTAAACGAATAAATATTAAGCTTTTTTTTTGTAAAATTTGATAGCCTTTAGTTCATAATTGCTCTTTATTTCATAAATTACGGTTTCATATTTTTAATTTTATAATTTCTGCATGCCATGTTACCAGATTTAAATTGATGATCTATAATCTGGATAAATCCCTAATCCGGAATCACCGAAGTCCCGGCAAGTCTGGATTATGAACTTTGTACTGTATTTCATATTAAAAATTATCAAGTGTGTGTAAAAAAACTAAGTGAAATTTTATTACAGAACATTTTGGGGAAATATTCAAGTAGAAAACAAATGTATGTCTCTTTGTTGCTGATCCATTAAATTTGGCTTTATCTTTCTGTATGTTGGAAGCTTTCTGTCTCATTTTTGAGAAGTCTCAAAACATACTGGAGATATGTTTGGAAATTTTTACAGAGAGAAAGGAAGGGGAAAAAATTAAACATAACTAATAATTTTAAAATATATGTTTTAGTAATAAAGGACAATAGATTTTATGTGCATATGTGTGATGGCCAGAAGTTGAATAAAAATTGTGAATTTGGATGAATGGATTATTAGTGAATTAATTTTCTTAATCTCTTTTCTGTCTTAATTTTGTTCCCATTAGTCATGTCTCATCATTTTTCATGCTACCTGACAGATGTAAACCCAGATTGATTTTCTTGTCTATGAGTTTAACTTGTAATTTTAAGTATTTTGGCATTTTCTTTATTCTGTTTGAGCTGTATCTGTAATTACTACATATTTGTTTCTATGTCAAAGGGATGAGCCAGGCATGCTAACTCTTCAAAATTAATGTTTTTAGAAAAAAGGCAGTGTGATCTTATTAATTAGATATATATCTCTTCATAAATTTCATAAACATGGGCAACTGTTTTAAGTACTTACGGGTTCCCTCAATTCTATCAAGAGATTTTACTTTTTTATTTAAATTTTTGTAATACTAATACTCTTAAAATTGTTGCAAACTAAGCCAATGAGATGCAGAATTTCCTCAAAGTGTAAAAAAAAGATCTTATTTTTACCTGTAGGGAAACTTTGGTGATGTTTATCGAGCTGTTTTAAAAGCAAGTGGTATGGAAGTAGCAGTAAAGACATGTCGTATGAACCTTCCTGATGAGCAGAAAAAGAGATTTCTACAAGAAGGGCGTATTTTAAAGCAGTACGATCACCCTAATATTGTTAAATTAATAGGAATATGTGTTCAGAAACAACCAATTATGATAGTGATGGAACTTGTACCAGGTTGGCTTTTTTTATATAATAATTACCTTAAGTGCACATAATTAACATTTGAGACTTTTAATTTTGTTCCTTAATTTATATTACTGTAAATCTAGGTGGTTCCCTTCTCAATTTTTTGAGAAATCATAAGCATTCTCTGATCATTACTGATTTACTGACAATGTGTTTGGAAGCTGCTCGGGGAATGGAATATCTAGAAAGTAAAAACTGTATTCATAGGTAAGAAACCGAATAATTATTAATTATATGAATCTTGTGATTTATGTCCATGTGTAAGCTATTTAAAATAGCATACAAATTAAATTGAAAAAATTATTCTATGTATTATATACATTTAATTTAAATATAATGCAAGTGCCTACTGGTGGCTGAATATTGGTAGCTTCAACCAAGTTTAAATACCTGCAGACAGACTGTCTGCATGGGAGCTTTTTTACTTTCCACATGAGTAGCATAAATACAAGTCATTTCTGCTTAAAATGTCCTATAGGAAGGATTTCTTTCTTTAGGCATATATTACTTCTGTACTTAATCTGTTAACCTAGCCTGCCTATAATCCAAAGACTTCTGTATGTAAATATTTTTCTTCTTTGTTTACTGTATTGGGTATTTCCCCCCCCTTCTGTCTGCATTTTAAATAGCACACTGGAATTTTATGATTTTTCAAGATATTTTTCATGTATCATATTGTGTCTGAACTTCTATGCAAAGTTTTATTAAGTTTTCCAGTTATATAAAAGAACAGGCAGAATTAAATGTAATATCATGGCTTTGCTAGTCCAACAAAAACTTAGCATTATTTTCATCTCATAAAATGCAGGAAATTCAAAAGCGTTATTTTCATCTCATAAAATGCAGGAAATTGAAATACAGCCAACAATACAATTATAAGTATCATTGGAGAATATTTTTAGAATAGGAAAATATAAATAAATGCCCTTTCTTCCTTTGATGTCCCAGCTATTATTTCCATTATAAATGACTCAAAGTTCTCTGAATTCCTTGTTGTTGTTTAAAAGAAGTTGAATTTTTGTAATCTTTGCAAATGTGAAATGTCAGGTTTTTTCCTTAAAGTATTTTTTGTTTCAGAGATTTGGCTGCCAGGAATTGTTTGGTGGGTCATAACAATGTGGTAAAAATATCAGACTTTGGCATGTCTAGGGAAGAAGAAGAATATACTGTGTCTGATGGAATGAAACAAATACCTATTAAATGGACTGCACCAGAAGCTCTTAACTATGGTATGACATTTATATTCTTGCTTCAATACAGATTTATGCATCTTTTTAATGAATAATATTAAAATATATCCCCTTCGTAGGGAGGTATACTAGTCTTTGTGATGTTTGGAGTTATGGTGTTCTTATGTGGGAGATTTTCTCCTTGGGTAGTACACCTTATGCAGGCTGGTCAAACAGCAAAGCCAGAGAAATGATTGATTCTGGTAAGCAATTCCTATCATATATCCAAATTGATTAAAATTAATTTTCTTAAATAACTATAAACTGCTACTTCTGGTTTGTATGCAACTGTGTCATGCAAATATAATTTAACATTATTTTTATTCATGTTAAATTTTTTACACAAAATCTTGCATCTTTGAATGCAATAAATTACCTGTTATTTATGCCTTCTTTGTATTCTTGTTAAACTAAATTTATTTTTACAGTCTAGAATGAGTTGAACGATTGACTATGATCATTTATCCTAATTACTGAACAAATTGTTAATTAAGGTCCTTTTTCTTTTTTGTTATGTATGGCTGAATACAAAGTTATACAGGGCTAAAAATGGAGTTTAAGTAATATATCTTTCATTACAGTATGAAATAATGTTGTTATTTAATAAACCTTAAGTGTTGTTTTGCTTGCATGTGTTGCTATGTGTATTGAGAAGGTCAGGTCTTTTAACACCTTGATTTATGATTTAATTTGCTTCTGTATATTGCTTGAAAAAAAAAAGACTTCTTTCACTTTTTTTAGCATAATTTAATAAAATGAAAAGTATATTTCTAAAGTTTTAAAATTAAAAATTCTGGAGGTGTAGGGAAAGCTGTCAGGGGCAATGAGTGAAAATAAATAAGTAGAATTATAATATATAAAACAGTAACTAAGTAATTAAAATAAGGTATTAAAAAATATAAGAGAATAAAAGTGCTAGTGAATTAAGTTACATTAATGAGGAGTAAATTTAAATATCATAAAGCTTAAATAAAAGTGAGAGAATTAATAATAAATTTTAAAAAGTCATAATTTAAGTGAAATAATAAAGCAAACATAAGTAAATTAATAAGAAAAACATGATACTGAAAATAAAAGGAAGTATTAGGTAAGTATTTTGATTAGTATTCGTTGAGAAGGGAAAGAAGGCAAAAGAATTTCCTTTTGCCCATGTAAAATATTTCGTCAATCAATGCTGTAACTGGAAAACATATACAGTCTGTGGACAGGGGAAAAAAAAAAAAGATATGACAGCATGCAGTTTGTTTTGTTTTAAATGTCTGATTCTAATTAAAATATATGATTGATTGCAAAGCTATATATTTAAAACAATAAGAATTTTGCTATACAGTTCAATTAAAAAAAATAGCTCCTTTTTTTTTCAGGATTTTACTTTAAGGCAATGCCCCAGATCCAATTAAATTTTTCACTTACATTTGTGCTACTCATCAACCAAATTTCATTTGATTTTGTCTAATGTAATTAATGTTATACTAATTTTGAATATCCCTTAATTTCTCTTACCCACATATTTTGAGATAAAATTCTATATTGTTCACCAGTAAGTTAATATATCACATGTAGCATTCTGTATGATGTATTAATCTGCAAATGCCTGTAATCCATACTGAGTTTTGGATGTAAAGAAGCAAGATTGTGATTTTAAAAAGAGTATGACAAATTCAAAAGTGATTATTTTCTTCTTTGAAGTGATTATGTCATATTCAAAAGTGATTATATCAGCAAGTAAACTTTCTAACAAAGGTAAACTATATTTATTAACGTATTTTTGATTGAAAAAGGCAAAGTAATTTTATTACTGATGTTGTTTATAATTTTCTGTGGGTGCACCAGTGCTGTTTTTTAATAGCAAACAAAGATCATGAATCTCTGCAACTTTTTCCATTTTGGACAAATCCTTAATTTTGGGTGTGTAGTCAGTCCACTGTGTTTAAAATTTATTTTGAGGTTATGCGATTAAGGTAGAGAATTTATTTTTGCTCAACTTTTCAGGTACTGGGTTCTAACTTAAATGTTTATATTCCACACAACATGTAAGCTTACATCAGCAGCAAAGAGGGATAGATTCTTAAAAATAATATTTTTAGAGATTTTTCTGGTATTAAAATGAAAAACATGATAAGGGAAAAGATGCTTCACCTAAATTTTAGCTTTAGCACTAGTAGTATTACTGATAGAAGTGCATATGCATGAAATATAACCAAAGAATTTGAAAGGGAGAAGTAAAACTTCAACAAACTGGCAACTCTGTAAAAAAAAAATGAATTAGAAATGCGTATTGCATACAACAAGCTTTATAAGCTTAAATATAGATCTTGAAGTTAATATATATATGTGCATCAAAACTGCCATCACTGGAGAAGCTATTAGAGAACTATATCAAATTATTTTAAAAAATGAATTCTTGGCTTATATTAAAGTGCCACAACTTCTTGTGTAGTTTCACAGAAATATATAGTCCGAAATCCGGACTCGTTGTGACTTTGACGATTCCAGATTTGGGATTTTTCCACATATTAGATCATCAGTTTAAAGCTCGGAAGTTTTACATGTAGAAATTATAAAGTTAAAAATATGAAATCGTGATTTAAGAAATAATGAAGTATTTATGATCTAAAGGATATCAAAATTTACAAAAAAAAAGCTTCATATTTATTTGTTTACCTTATTAAACATTTCTTTTAATGTAAGTTGTTTAAGTTGTTTCATTTTTGGTGCTAATACTTTCTCTTTAATTCCATAGACAGACATGTAATCTCTTTTTCAGTTACATTGTTGAAGTCTTGGAACCGCTGTTTGGAGCATTCCGACTAACTTGTCAATCGAAATTTTCTCGTTTTCAGTGACTTTTCTGTCACTTTCTTCACTAAACGGTAGAAATATTTTACGGATCTAGAACCATACTACAAATTTTGCCATTCATTAATTCATTGATGATTGAAAAGCATTGTCATCACAATGAAAAATTTCTTTTATATCATCTTCATTTATTACCGATTCTTCACATGTCTTTACAAAATCTATTTACTTGAAAGTTTCACCTTTGTTTTGCAATATCTGAAAACCTTTAAAATTAGTGGCTATCATCATCAGATTTAGCTATCCTTCACTGCACAGATTTGGCTGTGCATCATGAGCCTGGCAACTAACGACAAGTTGTTCTGTTAAATTATGTCTTGCTTCTATCACGTGCCAAGACAATTAAGCTTGAAATTCTATTAGTTATTTATTATGTCTATTTCTTGCACATGCTTAAGGCTTATCAGAGCTCTGAATAAATAAATTCATATATATACTTAAGCCTTATCGAGGGCCTGCTCTAGCTATCTTAAAGCGTCTGTGGGTCCTAAATTCTGCGACTCGATGCGGCCATACAAGCTCTGGCGCTGGTTCTGGGTTTATGTGAATAACAAATCCGTTATTCTTAATTCAAGTAGCCCTAAATGTCATCTTTTGGTCTTTGAGTATCATCAATAAAATCTATTTTTAGCATATGGAAAGAAATTTTTGTTAAATTTTTCCTCGTCAACATTTACTTAAAATCTGTAATCATCGCCAAGTGTAATGTCAACATAAAAGGTTACCATACTCCTTTATTATTCAATTACTAACATAAAAAAAATTGTTAAGCATCGCTACATGAGTCCTTACTCAAGTTGTCATGTTTTGATAAACATGGTGATGAAAAGAAAGTATAATAAATAATAATTCGCCAGTTTGGCGTCATATCAATGATGTATCTATGTGGAATGTTTCGGTTTGAAATGTGTGCCAAAACAGATATGCAGCAACGGAGCCAAATTACTGATCGTACAAATTTATGCTAAAATGATTGTTTCTTCAATAACGAGGTATTTTATTTAGTGTTGAAGTGAAATTAAGAATCAGGACTCTCCAGATGTTTTATTATGCACGGAGGGGGGAATTAAAATGCGCATGCTTAAAGCCTACGAGAAAATGTTGGTGGTGGTTTTGAGGTCCGGATTTTAGATCATTCCGGATAAAGGACGTCCAGATTTCGGACTTTGTACTGTAATAGGCAGAGTGGGAGAAAATATTGAATTTTGCTCCAGTTGTCCTGGGTGTGAAAGGTACATAAAACTTTTAATTCTTATTCCTTTTGATATAAGAAATAACTTTTAAGTTGATAGTGTACATTAAAATCCATTTGATAACATTAGACTGTAAACAAAAATTGCATGCAGTGGAAAACTGGTTTTTTGAATGAAAACTTAGTTCACATTTGAACATCTTAAAATTATAATTCAAGCTACCAAAAAAAATCAGATATATTTTGAAGTATCTCAATAGCAAATTTTCTTAAGCAGTGCAGATTTTCTGTCATACTTTAGGAATCAATGACTGTTCAAAATATGCAAAGACCAAAGTTCATCAAAACTGCTCCCCAAAGCCGTCAGTATTCAATATAATAGTAATTCTAGCAACAAAATAAATAATCCTAGAAAGCCTTTTCCTGACTAGGGCAAACTAACATCTAACAAAATCCAGATTTATTCTAACCTTAATCCCATTCCGAACAGCACTTATCCAAATAAAAATTTCTGGCCAGTTCACTTTCTCTAAGATAATATTGTTATAGACTCATTCTCTAAAATGGACTGTAAATAAAACTGACACTCAAGGTAAACATACTCATTTATTAAATTTACTCCATCTCGTACTCTTGTCAACTGACTTGCCAGTAACAATTTTTTCTAACCGGGGGCGCTGTGCTCGTGGGCCTGAACATACCGCCCAGCGTTGACATGGTTGCATTCAACAATTTAAAATTTTCACAAGTATAGCATTACAGCACAATCTAATTACAATATAATAATATGAATCTTATGGATATACATCTTGTAATTACTTTAATTTTACTCATTTAGGTAAAGGTAAAATGCAAGTTTTAGAAATTGACCTTGTAAAAGTTCCATTTTTTGTTTTTACTTTTACGATCTTACTTTATTATCTTTACCTGCCAACGTTTCTATAATTCTGCCTAATGGCCATTTACAAACAGGTGCATTATCTTCTCGTAAAATGACCATAGTACCAACTTCTACATTATTTTTTTCCATAATACTATTTATTTCATTGTTAAAGTGTACTTAAATAATTGTTTCAACAACATTTCCAGATGGACTGAATTACTTTTGTTAATTTTTTCCAGTTGTTTAACATGTTATTATTTACATTTAAA